CATCAATAAGGGCAGTTTTGAAAGATATAAACATTACAAAAAAAATTATTGTAGGTGATATGTCGATCCTCTAAGTGTCAAGTCCGGGATGCCTATAAAAAATATTTGAAAGAGAGAAATTTTGGGAAGTAAGCTAGGGAGCTCAGTGTGTTCCAACAGTGTAGAAATAAAACATATAGTTAGATTTCAAAATCAGTTCATCAATAAAGTTATGAAACATCGATAGAGTTTCCAAAATCAGGTTAGTTCTAAATTGTGAAAACATCAGTAGTGTTTTTAATTTAAAATGCATAATCGTCCTCCAACCGAACACCATATGTAGTTCCCCAAAACAACATCCATAAGGACTTACCCTAGGCTTGAAGGGCGTAGGTGCCAACCTAAGGGAGCACCTTGGGTCCACAAGGTCTTACCCTAGCCGAAGCGTAGGTAGGGAGTGCCCTCAAGCTTTTAAGGACTTACCAAATGCACATAACAGATGTGCCACCCTAAGGGAGTACCTTAGGGTCCATAAGATCTTACTACTAGGCCTATTAGGTCCAAGAGCCCACCCAAGAGTCGCCTTAGGTCCACAAGGAATTACCAGTTCGATCGGTCTGAACCTATATAAGGAATTACCAGTTTGACCGAGCTAAACCTATGAAACTTCATACTAGATCCTAGAGTACCCCAAAGAAAAACGTTTTTGAGAAAGTAACCAGTGGTAACAGAAAATCAGAGTTTAAACATATTTATCAGTAAAAATAGTAACCAGAGAACAAGAATCAGACAATCATGTTTAAATCTTTATAAATCAAAAATCATACTTTAAATCAAATAAATCATACAGAAACAAGTTAAACAGATAGTCACATTGCAAATAAGATAAAATAATCATATGCATGTGGTATTTCAAACATATATTTAAAACATGTATATAGCACACAAGGAACATACCTCGCAAAAAGAAACATTCTAGAATATCTACCAAGAACTATCTTTACTACATTCTTTGATAGTACATGAACCTAACTCATAACAGTACAAAGTTATTTTCGGAGTAATATGCTAAACTGAGCATTTAATAGGGTTGTAGAAGTATACAAGTATTCACGGGCTCTCATAGATGAGCGAATCGGGAAGAACCAGGTCAAGCAGTCGAACTGTCAGGGTATCCACGATTACATTAAGTATATCATGACATTAATTAGTCATTGTTCCTTCAGTTAAATTTAATACACTGAAATAAATACTTAATATATATATATATGTTCGGGTTTAACTATAAATTCAGAAGCTTTTGGGTTCGAATTTGGAAAAAATGAACTTTAGATTCGGACTCAGAACGTTGAAATCATAAAATATTACTTTTTGAAAATTTTGACTTTTTGGTCAAAGTCAATGGGCATATGAAAGTCAATGGTTCGGGTCAAGGTCAATGGGTCGGACCAGTTTGAGTTAACTCGGTTTGGTCTGAGTTGACTAAGACCGATTCAAATTGGTTCTGGCCGATCCAGAACGATTGGACCGATCTAAAAGGTTTTTCTGGAGCGTGGAAGAGCCCCACGCGGACTACCGGCATGTAGCAGTGTGTGCGGTGACGATAGAGGCCGGGGTGATTGACCGATTATTTTGGGAGAATCTACACAAAAACCACAACTCAAAACAACCTATTTTAAGCCAAAAACATTGGGAAAATAATAGAATCAAACCATCGAAATCTTACCCATGAAGGACAACATCAACGACAATGGTGGACAACAAACCCGGTCGAGTTTTAATCAGAATCGCCTGGGGAACACCGTGCTGAAGGTAGTGAAGTAACACGATGTCAGGTTTTGATTAAGCTTTACCAACTTTTACATGATGTTTGATGACCGATTAACTTTGATGGTTAGTTGGGGTTGCCTCGCGATGTCTGTCGATTCGTCTGGTGGTGTGGGAACACCACAATGGTGGTCGGGGCAGGTGAATTTTAGAGGGGTACGACGACTAGGGTTTGAAAATTGGGAATTTTGGGATAATTTATGGGGTTCTTACTTGACCAGGGGTCTATGTTTAGGTATATAACCCAATGTATTAAACTTAAAATAAATAATATTAAAATAGTGACCTAGGGTATATGGTAGAGGGATGACCGCCCATACCCTAGGTAACGGGTTCAAGCCTGGCCAGCACCCCTATCTCCTATTTTTTTTTTTGGTGTCAAGTGTGTTTGGGAAAATTATGAAGTTAGTTCCTAAACTTTCCAAACTTTCTAAATTAACCCAATAATTTTTAGAAATTTCCATTTTGATCATTTAATTAAATTATATAAATTATTTATTATTTTAACTAAAATTAGGGTGTGACACACAGTCCCTTATGTCTAACATAAGGAATAAATTCCTACAAAGATATAGGATATATGAATCCCTCACTTAAATGGGTTCAAAGTTCGAAATGATTTTTTTGAAAAAAATCTAAAAATATTGAAAGAAAACATCAGTACATAAATTTATTGGAAAAAAATTAAAGGTAAATAAAATGAGTCAAAAATATATTGAAATTTAAACTTACAACCTTCACTTAAGAATATAATCGACTAATCGATTTTTGGCCTAACTCTCAAATGTCCTCAGCAAAGTCGTTAAGCTATCGCGACAGTCCTTCGGGTGTTCCCCAGTTCACGGCTCGACTTGGATTGAGTTAGGTAGATAGGACACCTTAAACTTTCAAGTTTATCGAATTTGGATCTTACCAGAGAAATGTCAGATTTGGGAGTTAACTAAGATCGAGGAAGGATGAACATCCATGTATTACCCTTTTGGTACCAATATAATTACCCCGTTATCTTAATTACGAAGCTTGATCAGAGCTAAACCTCCATACTCCATAATCCTACCCATACAATATCCAGTATAAATCAGATTTTACAGTAAACTTTAATATCATGATTGTGATCCAGTAAAATCTTGTAAGAGTGACAATATAAAATAAATCACATAACTACCCTCCACCCATACACCATATGTAGTCCCATAATTAACCCAAGGGAGTGCCTTGGGGCCTAAGAGCCTACCCAAGAAAGTTTATCGGGTCCTCGAAGCCTACCCAAAGGTCACCTTAGGTCTGTAAAGATAATGTCCATAAATCAGAAATAATCATATTTTCTAGTGAAGACAGGAAACCATATAACACATTTCAGGTAACCATAATTCATAAACCAATAGATTACATGATCTATAAATCAGGAACTATTATATTTTCCAGTGAAAACAGTTAACCAAAGAACATATACTATGTAGCCATAGTTCATAAGCCAGTAAATCAGTAAATTAGTGATTTTAGAAAATCACATTTAAAACACGTAAAACATATACATGTCACATAAGGAGCACACTAGAGGATCCAGATATTCTTCATAGCTATTTGGTAATTAGGAAGGTATTCATAATCTTCTGCAGTAAAGTTACTTAAGATCTCAAGTATTACATGAGTGATTCATTATTCAAGCAAACAGGGATATTTCAGACATTTTGGTTCTTGGAGAATTCTTAATAATTTAACTCAATAAGGATAGAGCAATGATTTGTGGTATTAAATATTATACATTGAATCATCAAAATTTCGAGTCCAATCGAACTATAGATCCCAATACTGTGATACTTGTCAATCATTCGGACTGTGATACTTCACTATTATTCACTTCTTATTATTGACTGCACCAGCTGATTTGATCAATATCAGAATCATCCTTGATCAGTTCTTGAGGAGAATAATAGATATTCTGTTAGCATTTATTTCATTTTCACGTTGTAATAGTATCCAAAATGTTAGACGACTTGGGTCGTGCTCTATAACCTTTAGAGGCAGTACATTTTTTAGGTTCATCGGTATTTCCATAGTCTATCCAAAGACATTCACTTGATCCAAGTGCTAAAGGTATTTAGATCATCTCGGTACTTGGGGTTATTTTTAGTCATTTGGGGTCCATACTCATTAGTTATTTCAAAACTTGAGGAATATCAAAAATTTAAATGCTTCAGTGACGTGTCGCAGTTCCAATAATCTAGTCTTCAAATGATCATTCAAAAACAATGAGATCGGCATATTAAGAATTTTCAAATGTAGGAGTTTATTTTTGGGGGGTTTTAAATAGATTAGGAATTTAATCGGTGATCCCAAGGTTCAAGTGAATCAAAATATAAGTTCTCAGGTCGTTTCCATTATCATAGCCATCTATAGTCCTTTTTACGCATTAAGGGTATTATCGTTATTCCATTCAATTTTGTTAGTGGCATTACTTCCGATAAATTAGACTTTAAAGTATTCTAGTTCCTTTAGAGTTCAAGGTATTTTGGTCATTTGAATGTTGGAGGTTATTTTAGTTATTTCTTAGCTCGAAGACATTTTAGTAATTCAAATCAATCCAAATATATGTACCTTTTCTGGTAACTTGTTCAGATATATCTTTTCAGCATTATTTTCTGTTCTTAGGGGTAATCATGGTCTTTTTGCGGTGCAACGACATTTTGGACAAATTACAATTCAAGTTTATTCCAATCATTTCCATTTAATTCCATTTCTCTAAATAATTCAATCAATAATAGTTCTTCCAATATTTAACAGATCATTAATTTAACAGACGAAATAGAGTTTATCAAATTAAAAAAAACAAATTCTCAAGGTACTTTCGCCCTCAGGTCAGTCCGGGCCATTTTTACCCCATAGTGGTAATTTCATAAATTTTATAGTCATGTGATTCTGATATTAAACCTTTCACCGAAAATAATTAAAATTTAATAATTCTAAAGTAATTGGCTCTTCATATTAATCATTGTATTTGAAATCATTTCTTACTAGTCTTTCAATTACTTTCTATAATTCAATCTAGTCTCAACCAATTTATCACTTAAACTGTATTCGAATTCTAATCCATCCATAATATAACATGCATAATAGACCAATCATATACATCTATTCATTTATCCATTATCAAAATGTTTCATAAAGCATGTAAAGAGGTAGTAAAGTATTACCTCAATTTTTGTGCTCCACCATCGAACATTAAAACTCCATTTAATTAATCTCTAACTTGAATTCGACGTCTAATAATTCCTTGGATACATAACAACAAATTTACGTTAGATACTAAACTTAATTGGAAATACACATTTTATTTTGGGCATAAATCACTGAAAAACGACAAACCAAGTACGAATTTGGCAAAACGGACTTCAGATTTGGACTCATGACATTGAAAAACATAAAATATGACTTGTCAAAAATTTTAACTTTTTAGGTCAAAGTCAATGGTCAACGATCAAAATCAAAGTCAACATGCATGTCAACGGTCAGGTCAAAGTCAATGGGGTGACTATGTTCGAGTTGACTCAGACCGGGTTGACTTGGTCGGGTCAAACAGACTCGGTTCAAACTGGTTTGGGTCGATCCAGACTAACTAGACCAGTTTTACAAGAAACCAAAGTTAGGGGTCAGGGACGGTAACCAATTACCACATTATATAGCTTAAATGCGCAAAGAGTAGTCATCCGAAGAACAATACACCTAACTTCACTCACAAAAAGGAGTTGTCCAACCTCTGCTTGAATTCCATGGACAGAGAAACCAATAATCCAAACTAACTTTAATATATACAGTCACACCAACCATTTTGTTGACTTTTTCATATTCAATTACTTGGGGACCAAGATAAACCAGAGAAAGATTTTCAAACCCATATACTTGAAGATTTAAAAGATGTAGACAAACCCTTAAAATGGACTAAAAATTTCCAAATCATTCTTGAAGATGTAGAAGAGCATATCAACCGAAGGTTAAAGGAAAATGATGAAACCATGGAATTGAGCTATATCAATTGAACAAAAATCAACTATTTTTATATTTTCTCTATTCACAACACACACCAATAGCAAAAAACGGGTAGCTGTAATACCCGATTTTTGTCGGCCTAGTTTTCTATCCCAAAGCTCATATATTTTATTGAAGTTGATATTGTAGCCTGAGACATTAGTTGGCTTGCAACAAATTTTCAAGCAATATCCGAACATTTCTAGGGCATGATTTCCTCTTGAGATATGACCAACTTTTAGTTATCTTTCCAACACAATTTGAAATTCCTCAATCAAACATCATAAACTCAAGATATGCTTATTTTAGCAGAGATAACACATATAGAAAATTGGAAACATGCCCAATACGAGAACTTTAATTTAGTAAGAATTTTCAATATTTTTATTGAATATTTGTAATTAAATTCAAATTTATATTTTCCAAATGTATTTAGAGTGATTTATGATTTGTTTTTATCATGGTAGGATTTTTTCTTTTTAATTAGTGCATCCAGCTTTAATGAAAAGATGTTAGGGTTTTTTTTGTTGCTTCAAGGTATTTTTGGAACCTAAAAATAGGCACTCTTATTTTGTAACGGTGAGAGGCATTGTAACCTAAAATATTCGAGCAATGAAAGAAAACTTTTGACCCAGGTAATTCTTTTTTTCTTATTTCTTTGTTCAATTTTGTCTTGTCTTTATTTCCTTTTTCTTTTTCTTTTCTTTAAAAAAATATTTGAGGAGAGTAAATCGAGGAACAAGAAAAAAGTATTTTCAATTAATATGCATAGATTTAACCTTCTTTGAGGTTTCTCAATAAAAATAGACAATATTCTTTATTTATTATTATTATTTTGTTTTGTTTTTGTTGTTTTGGAAAATCATTAAATTGATTTTATATAAAAATTTTGTGGGATGAGAGAAAATCGAGAAATAATGAGGAAAGACTTTTAGATAAGTCTTTATAGATTTAGCCATCCTTGATATTTTTCGATGAAAATTGAGAAAATTTCTTTTCTTTTCTCTTTATTTTATTTATTTATTTATATTCAATTTTGACTTTTTTTTTTATTTTTAGGGATTTTATCTTCGATTAAATAAACTAATGACCCGATCTGGATACCGTAGATGATGCGCTCTTTAAATGGGTAGGAGATAATTCATTTTAGTCTCATCATTCATAATTTTATTTTAATTTTTTTAATTTAACTTTTCACTTTTGACTTAATTCATTAACACTTTGCCATTTCTTTTTTTAAATAATTAGTTTATTATTAAAAGTATATGTATATGTATATATATTATTTAATTTTTATTTCTATTATACGTTGTTCATGATTTCTTTATTTTGGTTCTCATAATCTTTTTGTTTCACTTTTGCAAATTAAACCTAAATCATGTATTTTGATTTTTATTCTTTTTGTAGTCCTAGTTTATTGTATTTTACATTTACAAAACTCAAAGGTAAGTAGATTGGATCATTAATTAAATTTTCACCTAAAATTCATTTTTCATAATTAAGATAATTGGGTAATCGTGATGGTGTTGGAAGGGTAATACAGGGGTGCTCAACCTTTCTCGATTGTAACCATCTCTGAATCCGACATTTCTCTCGTAAGATGCAAATCTAGTAAAATGAAAAGTTTAAGTTTCCAATCTACCTAATTCAAAAATGATCGGTGATAACTCCATCATTCAATCCAAGTTTAGACATGAACCTTGGACCACGCGAAGGGTCGTTACGACACAATCGATTTGACAACCCGTATAAAATCTATAAGTCTCTTTCACTTATCGAATCTTGGTTAACTTATCTTTCGTATTTATAGAATCCTACAATTACTTGCCATACATGATCTCAATGTCATATCCTAAAGATATGGTTCCAATTTCTAGCTTCCCATACATCATCCTACACGCTCTCGGTGCGTAACTATGATTTTCTACAAACTCGCGATAACCCAATAACTTTTAATTTTCCTTGTAATTAATAAGTACACCAATCACTAGATCACACATATAGGAAATTATAACCGAAATACACACGTAGTGAGACTAGAAACCTCTAACTCTCCTAGAGAGTATGCTTCTCGTTGTAGAGATCCCTCAAAAACACCCTCGAACATTATTGAATCCATGACTCCACGTCTAGTACCCACCATCGCATACCACAATGTGCTAATTGATGTTAGCAATGCTAGTCAATTGACACTTAAGGTACTTGGTCTCATTTAGCCTCAAGCACTATAAATGCTACTTGGCACCTTAGAACATTAGATGTTCTATATAGCTCACAATCGTATACCAACACGAAGACATCAAAGATGAAGTTTGGTTCGAAAAGTTTAAACATTTATCAAACAACACAAGTAGATATTATGGATTATTCTAGGGTCACACAACATTGCAGGACTTATACCCCACTAGTATACTAACATAGGTACTTTGGATGAGACCTAGAACTCACATGAGGAACGTACATCCAGCAGCCTCACATGACTAGTACCTTAGTAGTACTTTTATAAATTTTGAGTAACCTATTACACATGAGCAACTATTAATAATGCAAGCATCTCAATACCCATAATGTTTTTATTGGAGATATACACCTCTAAATCCAGACTTCGGACTAATTCTCTATCGAGCAAGTCTAACAAACCATCGACTCTCGATAAGAACACATGCTCCCATAATGTTAGTCTTATCCTTGAAGAGCCACTTTGTCTTATTGATCGACTACCAAACGTTTCCTTAGAGTTGATGCGCAACTTAACTAGGATCAATTAATGATTCTTACATGATTAATTGATCTAAAGCCTTAGACTTACAACCCCAAGTTCAAAGTAATACTCACGCTAACAAATTTCATTAGGTCAGCTATCGAGCCCGACCCAAGCCCTCAATGGACATCTACGGTAAACTTGGTCTACTTAACTCAGACCCACTAAACTAGGCACTTGGATCCTTGCGCCAAGATCTTCCATACGAATAATTTTCCTATATAGTTCTCTTTCACACAACGAAGGAATGCACGAACTTGCACCTACTAAATGTAAAATTATTAATTGGAATCATTCAAGACATACTTGGTATCTAAACTACGAAACTACAAAAAAAAAACATTATTTAATTACCTCATGATGATCTGACAGGCTAGGACATATATAACTATATTGGGAATAGGTCGATCTATTCATCCACTCTCGTACCTAATCATAGCATTGACACATCTTTGTGCAGACCCTCTTCCATGTTGGCTACTTGGATTGCTCTCTTGTGTCGAGCTATAACATTGCTAGTCAAGTTAGGGTAGTCTCTCACTAAATGCTCTAAGGATCCATATCTAAAACATGTCCTGGAGAGTGTAAAACATTTTTCTCGATGCCCCTATCCATAACAATCACACTTTGGATACATCAACACTCTATCAGAACCTCTCACTCTTTTCATAGGCGGTGAAGCTAATAATCTCCCACATGATCCCATTTTAAATCTCTAACTCAATTGATGTGACTAAAATGAAGCCACTCTCAATTTTTTATGAGAATCTATGGCCCTAATGGAATATCAAATGAGATAGGTCTGCCGATACCAAACTCTTCCTACTCAACATATTTGTATCATCCACCAAACTCATCCTCATGTTCTATGCCCTCTCCATGACCTTAACTTGTCGTGCCAACTTAGAGAATACTTTAGGCTGGTCTACAACCACTTCATATGAATGCATATGCAAACTCCCTTAGTGGGCCTTCTACACCATAAGGCTAACTCCAAAGCATACCTATGCGAAGTCCTTCAAGGGGTCTTCTACACCAAAAAGATATATATCTCATCGATATACTCACCTATAAACTCACTCAACAACTAGTCCATGTAGGTATTTCAGGCTTTATAGCCATCTCTACAGTCTCCCACAATAAGATAGCTTCACCCTTGAGTAAAGCGATTGCACACTCTAGCTTATCTCAAGGTAAGGTGAAGTTATCTCAAAGTCCACATAGTTTCTCTCCACTATTAATTAACTAAAATCGGGTCACCATCACATGAACCATACATCCTTAATCTCTCCACCATAGACTTTATAGTGCTATTATACCAGGAGTATGTAGTTATAGAGAAAAAACACAATCATAATTCCAGTATTATAAGAGTAGTTTTAGAACCTACATGCATGTATTCAATAACACCTACTAAAACCAACCACTGGGTCTTAGAATCGACTCAACTTCAACTCTGATACTACTAAATGTTACACTCTAAACACAATTGGACCTTAAGTGTCATATTAGTCTGTAGAGGCAACAACTAAAATTTAAAACTTTCTTCATTACCATTTAAAAACCATGAATTCATTAAAAGACATCCATAACAGTTATAAAATACTTCTACAAACCGAAGTTCCATGACATATAGTTTAAATCAAAATAATATAATCACATAGTTTAAAAATCCAAATCCAATAGTAAGGTTACTATGAATACACATGCCCACTACAACTAACTATACAATACTCTTTGAGGAATGTTGGAAATTCTACTATGACAATACTCCTTTATTTACTCAATATACTAACATGTGAATGAAAATATTTAAATGTTGAGCTTGCTAAGCCCAATATTATAATCACTAATCAATAAGAGTGTTTGGATCTCATAAACATAATCATTATAGAAGATATCGTAATAAACAGTAGATTTATGCATGATCATGAACAAGTGCTACCTACTAAAGGTTCAACCATCCTATCACTATAGTACAAGCCTCATGCATCTTTTAATCTTATGCCAAAGTCCTCGCCATAAGTATACATATATTGGGTCTCAAAAAATAATATCATACTACTATGAATTATCAAATTAACACACAAGCAAAATGATAGTACCAGTCTCACATAGTTATCAGATACTATTCATACAACATCGAGTAAGCCTAATGGTATAGTTTGGGGTCACATCAGCACCACGAAACTTATTCCCCTAAAGCTTACAATATAGGTACTCTATATAAGATCTAGTTCATGAAACATCAACATCTTACATCCACATGGTCCTCAGTGCAAAGTTCTTAAGGTAAGATATAGGTCACAAAGCATCAATATCTAACACCCGACTATTCTAATACTTTAGTGTACTTAGGACGTGTCTGGGTCACAAAGCATCAAAGCGACATCCAACTAGAATTTAAAGTTCTCTTGCACTGACTTGGATATATTTAGATATTCCTCAATCAAATAGATGATCTCCACTCTCACATACACAAGTAACTCAAGTGTCTTCATCGTTTCCCGAGCTTCCAACAAAGACAATCTCGGTATCTCAACTACTCAAAATCGTAACTTATCATAAACTGATAAGGTCATCCCCTCACTCAACAATATCTTGTTCATTACCTTATCTAGAACATTATGCAAGGGCTTATAATTCATTTAGTGTTTTGTGCCCTTAAGTCAATTTATATTCATCACTATCCATTTGGTATATTATTACTAGCTCAATACTCGATTCAAGTTTATGACTCCTCATTCTCTGTAATCACTACTATCAGTTCATCCTTGAACCGATATGGTAATTTGCTTATCTTTGATTTATAGTTGTTTAAATGGTACTCAATTTCCTCTATCAAGCTATTCACGTCGTTCATTTTCTTACTCGATACATGCTCAATTGAGGGATACTCAGAATTATTCCATCTCGTTAAGGTTATTTTACTTATAACCCACACCTAAGGGTGTTTCTAGTCACTTTTACCCATTTTAGCATCTCTCAAGCTAAATCCCACTATTAGGGATCATCCCTCACTCTTATGGATCTTAACAAATTCATATTTAACCATAAAAAATGGGTAGTATCAATACCCTACATGTAGTACCGATACTCCCTAGAAAAGTATCAATACTTCATTGAATATTGGTACAAAAAAAGTTTCAAAGTACCAAAAATTACCCCTAGTATTGATACTAATAGCCTCAATATTGATACCAGAGAAGAAATATCGATAATCCTCCTTGCATTATCAACAGTACCCTTACAAAATGCCTAGAAATCATCCCATATCATCCGATATTGATATTGTTTATCCAGTATCAATACTCCAACCTAGAATACCAAAAAATAGTCTTAGGAATCACTCAAAAATCCTCCCAGACAACCTAGTTTGGTCCCAAAAAATGTTCTTAAGTTTAGGGGAGTTATTTAGGATCGTTTAACACTATAAAATTATAAGCTTTATAAAAAAAAGTCCTTAAGGAAAAAATCAAACAAAAACCTCCAACATGCTCAAATACATAAACCCCCATCAAACATCATGATTTTGGAAGTCATAACACCACAAAGGATTATAAATACACTACCTTTATGTTAGAATCCTAAAATAAAGCTTATTTTCAAGCTATACTAACTTTCTCTTCTTTCTCATAAACTTGGGCACTTTACACCCATTCCTCTGGTCAACAAGAGATGCAAGGAGTTATAAATCACCTAGGATGTTGCAAGAGAACTTAAGAACGGATTTAGTGTTAGAAGGAGACATGGAAGAAGCTCTTACCATTCACCTTGGTTTAAAACCTTAGGGGAGAAGAATTAAGAAAGGAAATGAGAAGGAATAACGAAGAGAATACAAGGAAGATATTGTTGATAACTCTCCAAAAGAGTTATCATTTCAGACCTTTATACTTAGGTTAATCTTAGACTCTTACATTTTTATGATTAATTTAGTATGTTTTATAATTAATTTTATTTAGGAGTTAAGTGTTGATACTTGGGCCAATTTTATGTTTTATGCTGCAAATATCTATCCTAATGTTATGACATTATTGATGATGTAGTCGATGTTGTACAGAGATGGTGTACTGAAATACTGAGCAAATCCCATAGCAACTACTGAGTCACCAGATAGTTATGGAATATTCTGGAATATGGATAACTATTATAACAGCTATAAATTGGCTGCAAATTAAAGGAAATTATGGAAATCTCTCACTGGATGAAGTCTTCACTTTTTCATCCTATATATAGAGGGTACTTTTGGGATGATTATTTTTCTCTAAATTTTTTTCCATATTTTATTTTTCAATCAAGTAGTGATGGTCGCTTAATTTCATTGTTGGGAGTATAATAACAGTCATGAAGTAGCGCCATCGTAGCAGCGATGACCGATTGAGTTTCAAATTTTCTTTTAGTTTATTTACTACATAAGAGAAGATACTTGTAACACCATCAACTCGATCCAGAAATCAAATATGAATCTATGATGTCACATTGTACCATCAAAGTGATCGTAAAAATTAAAACTTAGAAATATACAATTTACTTAAAAAGTTAAAACTAATAATGTCATGATAGAAAAATATAAACATTGAGAAAAGGCAAACCTCCTTTATTTGAAAAACCAATATACATAAACAAAAAATTTACAACATACTCAAATAAAATTATAATCTCTACATTCTAACTCAAGTCCTCATGTTGTATTCTTGTACTCTCACTAAAACTCCTTTGATAACATCATTGTCCTATCGTGATCCCTAAACCTAAACCTATAGAGGTAATAATTAAAAGAGTGAGCTATTAATCCAGTGAGTACACATTGACTGTACTATATTTCACTTGTCTCATAAAATCAACTTGCTAGCTGTTTATGAACCTAAGCCGTTATTATAAGATTATCATAGTCTTATCATTATCAGCCGGGTTCATTATACTTACCCAAGGTCTAGAGGATATAATGTCTTTTCTCATCATACAACCTTCCACATTCTATAATATTCATGATCTTAGTAGTTCTAAGTTTATTATGTAGTAGGCAAGGCAATTATCCAATCTAGGATATTATTTTAATTTATTAAAGCGGTTTCCATCCTAATAGTCTCATCATTAACCATTTATTTGAAAATTGTCTTATCCAAATTAACATATTTAATCCTACCATCAACATGGTAAAAGACTATACACAATATCATTAGTAGCAAGCATATGTATATTATGCATATAATCATTACTAGCAAGCGCTTGTATATCATGCATGTAATCATCAATATCAAGCACAATACCTTGCATATAATCAACAATAGCAAGTGCATGTATATCATACATGTTATCATCAATATTGGGGTATCATCGTAAAATATTATTAATGACACTTGAAGTAAACTCTAATTGGGGTCTATCTAGCTGATGTGAGCTAAAATGTCATATTGATACGAAATCACTATGTTATAGTAAATGAACTTGAAGGTCCAAATGTACTGAAGTTCTACAAACCTGTAGGTCTAAATGCACCAAAGTGTCAATACCATCACCAAGTTTCTCCGCTAAGGTGAATGATATTGTGATACCAAGATACAACTGCTTGACCCTATGCATGCCATTGTACCAATGACCTCTAACTATTTTACTTGGGTAACAACAATATTAGAATGCATGCAATGCACTTATCTCGGTATAATCAACCATCAATAGAAATAATCATGATAACTTACCTCAAGCCTCTCTACCATCAGGCATCATCGTAATAAAGATCGAGTTGACTTGCCTTAAGTTCTCCCTTCACCATGCACTAAGTCATGCAACATGAAAATCATTTATGCATTACATAACATATATTTTAATCCTTTATAAATTCCATAAGACATTTACTACCAATAGGATATTTTGGTTATTTCACATCTAAGGGCCCTTTTCCTTTTATAATATTATTCCATGTAAGTTATTAATTAAAGCCTTTAATTCTTTTGATCATATCCTTAATATTATATTTATCTCGCTTTTAAGTTATCTCAAGACTTTCACTAATTAATCCATTTAACGCTTAAGGGTATTTTAGTATCTCAACAATGAGGGCTCTTCAATCATTGTTATTCTTAAACGAGTATTTTTACTCATTTATCTTGTTTTATTCTAGACATATAACCAATTAATAGATGCCACATATTTAAATAGAAAATTTCATAACACATATTTACATATGAGACAAAATACATAATTTCAGCATTGAACTTAAATAGACTTACACTAGTGAAATTTAACATATTATTCAAGAAGTGAACTTATCATCGATTTATACTAGTGAAATTTATCACATAACACATCTTAGAGTAACACCAGTCAAATTTAACATATAATTCTAGCACTAAACTCGTTATAGACTTAAACCAGTCAAATTTAACATATAACTCCAGCACTAAAATCATCATAAACTTACACCAATAAAATTTAACATATAATTCCATAACTAAACTCAGCACTAATTTACACCAGTCAAATTTAACACATAATTCCTTGATTAATCTCATCATAGACTTACACTAGTAAAATTTAATATATAATTCCAACACTAAACTCATCACTTATTTACACTAGTAAAATTTAATATATAATTCCAACGTTGAACCAATGAAAAACTTACACCACTACAACAAAATAGGTTTATAGCGGCGTTTTTAGCAATTTTTTTTTAGAAAATGCCGTTAATTTTATTGTTATCGCGACATTTTTAGAACAAACAACACAAAATAACAAATTTCATTGCGTTTTAGAAACACCACTAATTTTATGCATATCGCGGCGTTTTAAGCAAAAAAAGGCCACTAAAGACTCATACTTTAGTGGCGTTTTTATACAAACGTCGTAATAAGACGCATATATAATGGCATTTTTGAAAAAAAAACTGCTATAAACTCGTACTTTAGTGGCTTTTTTATACAAACATAACTATAGACTCTTACTTTAGTGGCATATTTATACAAATGCCGCTAAAGACTCGTACTTTAGTGGCATTTGTGTTTATAAATGCTGTAAGTTTATATCTTCTAAGTCTCGTGCCCCTTTAACCCTTTTTTATTTTTCCCCTTCACCTATTTTTTTCATTATTTCCATTTACCCAAATCCATCTGTTGCTTCTTCTGCAATGGAGGGATCTTCTTCTTAGCCCTTCGATCATCATCAAACAGTGTCTAGCACCTCCAAGTTTCTCTCCAATCTTCCCTCTCGTGGCCACCTCTCTGTCGTCATCTCCTCCAATCTAGTTTTTACCCATTTCTTTTCACTCGCTTATTTAATGAATTTCATTTTTTTTAAAAGTTCTAGATCTTAATAATTTGATCTAGCTTAAAAATGCCTTGTGATTTCATCTCATCTACTTGGTGAACAAGAATGAAATTCGAATGAGAAAGGAAAATGGGAAGATCTGTATTTGTTGTGCTTAATTTCATCTTGTTGTTTTCATTTATTCCTCTTTCAAATCCAGGGGGATGCTGATTTCATCATAAATTTTGCTTCAGTAAGAAATCTAAATCTAAAACCGCAACTTCCTTACTAAATTTTACTTTTTTAAATATTTATGGATTTGATTATGTTATAGAAATGGCAAGGAACTTGTTTTTTTGTTTAATCCCTGGGTACTGTGATTATTTTGTTTGAAATATAATAAGTTGTTGATACTGGATTTGTTGATAATAGGAAGTTGTTTTTTTCTTGATAGAGTACTCTTGTATATGATCTATGTAAGCTAACCAACTAGTTAGCAAAGGCTTTATCTTGGTGATTATTTTTTTCTATTATTATTTTATATGCATAGTAAGAGTATTTAGATAGTTGGTAACTTGTGTATAAAGACATTAAGGTTTAATCATTGTTTTTGCATTACCATGTACATTTTATTTAAAATTGTCACCACTATGTGCAGAGGCATATATATGGGCACCAGGGAAAATATGTCCAAATTTTTGCAGATGGTGGTAGTTTGGTTGTCAATCCTGCTTATGAGCAATCTTAAATGGATCTTTTATCACGAGCACCTCGAGTGGCTCTATTTCTTTCAAAAAATTACCCTTTTGTCATGGCATTAAAGAAGGTTTATCTTTCATTCATTTTCTTGATCTTATTATGTTTCTGTTTCTTTCTTTAAGACAATGATGTGCACTTTAAGAATAAGTTGGGTTTCATTACAATTGAACTAGTTTTTACGAATACATGATATTTAACATACGAGGAATGTCAAATGTCTTGGATAACTTATTTTCCAATTGGGAGTTAGAATAAAGAAATACTTCAAGTGAAAAAAAATTCTATTTCAAAATAAATTTTGAGTGTAGTGTGGTTGTAGAAGGAAAAGTGAGTGGAAAGAAAATGAATGGATGATCTTTTCCATCCTCATCTGTATAAACAAATGATTTCAATTTGGAAGGAAAAGAGAAAATGTGAGGTAGATACATCCTAGTTCAATATTATGTAATTTTCTAAGTTTTATTTTTTCCCCCTCATTTTCAACTGTATTATCAAGCAATGAATGGAAAGAAAAAGGAGGTAGTGAAATCGTGGAAAGAAAATAAACTTTGAATGTGCTTAGTAGGAAAGAAAATGAGAGGATTGTCATTTTCCATCCTCATGAAAAATGAATTATTCGGAATGATGAGAGGAGAGAACATGTGAGAGAGATGGTAATTAGTTTACACACAGTAGACCAATAGTATAATTTTATTTTGTGTTTCATTTATCACAACACATTTAATTTTGAGCCAAGACAAAGAATTAATTTTTTTCATAATTTATTTGATAATTATTTGATATATTGGTTGTGAGTTTTAGTGTTTTGTGATATGTTCTTAATTATGAAATTAAATGTAATGCTTATGTTTAGTTGCTTACTTTCTCTATAATATTAGCAATCAACATTTGAAATTGATAATCTAGAAATAAGAAATGGATAAGAGTTGGATGGATTTGTCAAGGGTAAGCGACGAATTTCGAAATGGAGTCGAAACTGAAGCAAGGGAAGCAAAGAGAGAAGTAGTATATCAGAAAAATGTGAAGACTTTCAAAATCAATTTCAAGATATGATGCAGATGATACGACAAAATCAACCCCAGAGTCCACCATCTTAGGTGTTATTATTGTTTATTCTAGTTAACAATGTTGAATTGCATTATATTTTACGTTAATGTAAACTTTGATTTATTATTATGAATTTCAAGTTTCTTGTTATGGATGTCAAATTTATTGGATACTGCTATAGGTTAAATTTAGGTAACAAAAGAGTAGAAAACAACATTTGAAAAATTAGTTTTAATTCGTGGTGTTTGTATAAAAAATGCCACTAAATAGATAGTCAATACCGACAATTTTTTAAAATACCATTAAAGTTCTAGATCTTATACAGAAAACACCACTATATACATAGTCACTAGCGGTGTTTTACAATCACAAACGCTGCTATATGAATGAACCACTAAAAACATATTTTTTGTAGTGCACCAATCAAATTTAATACATAATTCAAGCATTGAACTTATGACAGACTTACACTAGTCAAATTTAACACATAATTCCAGCAATGAACCTATCACACACTTACACCAATTAAATTTAACACATGATTCCAACAATAAACCTATCACATAATTACACCAGTTAAATTTAACTCATAATTCCAATCTTGAGCCTATCATAGACTTATACTAGTCAAAGTTAACATATAACTAGGTAAATTAAGCATCCTCATAGTAGTTATACCCAATGAATTTATTGTCAAAATAAGCTCTTAAGAATTACTACCCGAAGCTTAAATCAAGTGTGAAACATTAAGAACAAGGGATCGAAATAATGAATATCATGAAAAAACGAGTAATCACCTTAATATCCTAAATCTGACTCACTGACTTTATCCGAGCTTTAGAACCTTTTTTCCATGGACACAAGCACCTCAGTCTCTAACTTCGAGAATTTCTCCCGTAGATTGATTTCTTCACTTGCCTCAAAAGAATACAACCTTGGAGGTAGAAGAGAGTCATTCATCACTCTTTATTCAATCAAAATCTCTCAAAACCTTAAACTTTCTCACTAAAATTATCATGGATAAACTTAGGGTTTAAACAAAACCATTCAATATCCATATTCTTTTACTCATTTTGATGGAAATGAGAAAATGAACACTTTTCTCTATCACAAGCTAACCTCAAATCTAACTAGAAATTAATGAAATGAAGAAAATGTAAACACTTTATCTTGTCTCTCTAACTCACGTTGGGGCTTATGGAAGAAGATGATAACTCTTTTCATCTATTCTCTATCTCTTTTATTTACACATATAAACATATTTTCTAATGAAACAACAACCACACATTTTATTTAGATCTAATGGTATAAGTTAAAGATGGAAAATTATATCCAATATATTAGTCCATATCCACCCAAGCAAAAATATCTTGTAATTTTTGGGGATGATTAACTCGTTAAAGAGTCAACTCTTCCCTTGTTCTCACTTTTGAGATGTGAAATTTCTTTATGGAAATTTAGTCAATAATCTTCTACAAAATAAATTCTAAGAATTAATTCTTCATCTCATAATTCAAATTAAATCTTACAACGTATAGAAATTATTAACTAGTCGTCAAAAATAATATTATTTACCATCTTTGGGATGTTACAATACTTATTTGTCTAAGTTGAATGTTTTATTTTTATAATGTTATTATTTGGATTTAAACTCAAGGTATTTGATGAAATAATTTACATTATGATTTTGTTTTTACATTAAATTTTTGTTACTGGAGCTTTTAAAAGTTATTTTTAGAAATAAAAATAACTATTATGTGTGTTTAATCTTGGGTTCTTTTTAGAAGTAGAAATTTTGAAGTTTGGATACTACCTTTCTTGCAACATTGGTCATTATCAAAATGATGTAGCATAAAGAAATTTATGCAACCGGTTGTTATTGTGTTGTCAATAGTTAATCAGTGGATTTATTGAGAATTAAATCTATTTGGTTAGGTGTTTAACTACGTAAAAGGGTTAATTAGTTGATTAATGCATGAAATATAAATGTATTGTTACATCGTGATCATGTTGAATGCTACCATTTGACAACAACATCAAAGGTTTATTGGTCTGATTGCTCCCTTGATTGCTTTACATTCCCTAACATTTTTCTCTTAATTTTAATACATTTTTTATAAACCTGCCACTGCTTTATTTCAATTTATATCTTTCTGATATGACGATTCTAATTGTATCATTTGCTCCCTATAGGATTCAATGCTCGACAGGATGATTTATGTCCACTTTATTACTTAATGGATTCATATTCTTCCATTTAATGATATAACAACATTGATAGCATCAAGTTTTTGGTTCCATTTTTGTGAGTAGTGATATTGCATTAGAGTTCTTTTTCTTTTGTTTTCACTAACTTTTTTTAATTTAAATTTGTAGGTACCTTGTTTTTAGAATAGCGTTGCTGGTGCATGACCCGCAATAACAATCAAGACTTAGAACCTTTTGATCCTAAAATTGAAGGAACATTTCAAATTCGTAGACAAATTAATTAACATCAACCAAATATGACTCAACATGATGCTGATAACAATGGTTTACCACCATTACGGAATGGTTAAGATAATTTACCAATTAATAATGAAGGAGGGAGTCCACCTTTACCTAAAATTTATATATCATTGAATTTCTACAACATCGATGACTACAATAGGCTAATCCAAGAACATGTTGTGCCAACCTTTGACGATTTGAATTATGGAATTATGTGACCTGCCATTCATGCTACCTAGTATGAGTTGAAGCCTGTGATGTTTTAAATGTTGCAATCGATAGGGTAGTATAATGGGTCATTTACCGAGGATCTTAGAGCACACTTAAGAGCATTAATAGAAGTGTGATTATTTTGTACATCAAGAAGTTCCAGAGAAATCCTTGAAGTTGAAAATGTTTATTTACTTTTTTCGTGACAAAGCCAAGGTGTGATTTAATTCGTTGCCACCTGGTGCTATAGCATTATGGAATGAACTTACTCAAAAAGTTTTTTTCTACGTTTCAACCCTCCCAATATGAATGCTAAATTAAGGAATTATATCACATCATTCAAGCAAATGGAGGTCGAGAACCTTTACAAAGTTGGGGAACATTTCAAAGATTTGATGCACAAATGCCGATGCATGGTTTCCAGCATTAGACACAAATGAAAATGTTATACAATTGACTTAATATGCAAACAAGTACGGTTATTGACACTTCAACCAATAGAGCATCACTGGATAAGACTTACAACAGATCCTATGAAATCTTGGTGAAAATATCCAATAATGATTACTAATATATCAGTACAAGGATTATATCGAGTAGACACAATGTTGCGACAGTGGATAACGATGCTATCAACACATTGACCACAGAAGTTATGAAACTAACTAAAATGATGAAGAATATGAAAAGGCTTGGGGGTATGTATAATGAAAAGGCTACATATATTGTTTCTTGTGTTTATTGTAGAGATAATCATAATTTTAAGGAACGTCCAAAGAAGTCTGAGTTTGTTTATTTTGTAAGGAATTGCAGTAGCAATGACAATACCAATGCCCATGAGAACAAATACAGTCCAAACTACTAAAATCATCCCAACTTGTCTTGGAGATTTCATAATGTAGCTAACCCCAACATGGCATTCCAATCAAACATTAGGAATATGCAATAGTATTATCAATCACAACAATAGTAGCGAATGGTGCAACAACATCAGTCACATCATTAGGCATTGCATTCACAATAATGTCACAACTAACAAAGCTATCAAACATAGTCCTAAGTGACACTAAAGTTCTTATAGCACATGGAAAAGTTCAATGCAATGACGATTGAAAAGCCATCATAACACGTAGTGGACTCTACTTTAGAGAACCGAATGATGAACCAATGAACAAGGATGATGAGAGGCTTGGGTATCAAGTTAGGAAAAGAGTTGGAAGTAGATACTGAGACACCTATTTTGGATGTCACAGAAAAGGATGTAGGACAATGTAGTAATTCTGAGACATTTCCAGCTACAATGCCAACATGATTCCCACTGATAATTCCACCCCCATTGCCAAGCTTGCAAATTCAAGACCTCCACAATCATTTCCTCAATGATTTAAGAAGACTAATGAGGACCAACAATTTTAGAGGTTCATTGATATGCTTAAGCAATTGATAATCAACATTCCATTGATTGGTGCGTTGGAGAAAAATTTGAATTACATTAAATTCATGAAGGAAGTGCTTTCCAATAAGAGAAAACTTGGAGAATTTGAAACTGTTGCACTCAGTTCATGATGTAGTGCTATGGCTACAAGTAGAATGCCACCAAAATTAAAAGATTTAGGGAGTTTTACTATTCCTTGCATTATCGATATCAATTTGTAGGTAGAGCATTATGTGATCTAGGTGCTAGTATTAATCAATGCTTTTCTTCATCTTTAAGAAAATTTGAAATTGGAGAAGTAAGACCTATCACTATGACACTTTAACTTGTCGATCGTTGTATTGTACATCCTAATGGTATAGTTGATAACATGTTAGTTCAAATGGACAAGTTCATTTTTCCCATCAAATTCATTATATTAGACTGTGAAGCTGACAAGGATGTCCCAATTATATTTCGTTGAACAATATGTCGAAAAGGGAAAACTTACTATGCACCTTAATGATGAACATTTCCCTTTTAATGTTTTGAATAGTATTTCATATGAGGATGACAATGTCGAATGTCACTTTATTAACATTATTTATGTTTTTGTCTAGGAATAATGGAATGAATGCCACAACATTGACAATATTGCTTGTAGTGTTGTGAAAATAGAGGAGTAAAAGGAATAATATGAGATAAATGAGGTTCAAGGGAATTATGTTCAATATTTTGAGTCATTGGATCTGCCAAATGGACCTATCCTAACTCATCGCCCTTTTATTGAAGAGCCCCCAACCTTTAATTAAAACCTTTTTATGATAATTTGAAGTTGCATTTCTTGGGGGAAAACAAGACTCTACTTGTTATTGTTGCAGCAAAGCTCAATGCATAACAAGAGAAAAAATTGCTAGATGTTTTGATGCATTATAAGAAAGCAATTGCTTGGACCATTGCTGACATCAAATGTATTAGTCCAACCTTTTTCATGCACAAGATATTACTAGATGATCTAAACAACGATGCTGTTGAGAAACAAAGGAGTTTGAACCATATTATGAAAGAGGTTTTTTTAGAAAAGAAGTCATCAAGTGGTTATATGTTAGAATCATCTACAATATTTCGCACAACAATTTGGTGAGTCTAGTTCAAACCATTTCAAACAAGGGTGGCATCACTGTTGTTTCCAATGAAAAATATATTAATTTCTACTTGCACCATGACTGGTTGGCATATTTTTATAGACTCAAGAAAGTTGGCAAATCATTATATTGCTTTCTTGATGTTTATAGTGGTTATAATCATATAGCAATTGTACTTGAAGACCAATAAAAGACTACTTTCACTTGTCCTAATGGCACTTTCGCCTTTCAAAAAAGGAAACCTATCCTGAGATAACCCTTATAGAATCAGCCTCAAACGCACCACACTCAAGTCTCTTATTGGGAGTACGCTCAAGAGAGGGACAAAGTTATTAGGAATGTACTGTAAAAGAAATTTCCAAAGGTTGTTACCATGTTTCGTACTTTCCCAAGTTATGTCTTGAAGGACATAGCCTAACTACCGTGGATGATGATGAGAATATTTCGACCAACATTGATAACGATTTAGAGAATGATGATGAAGGTGTTATGAGAAGGATGATAATATTGAGGACACAACTACTGACAAAGAGAATGGTGCTAAAATTCTGAGGAGGTTAATATCATGGATGTAGATGAGGAGGATTCTAGCTAACATGAGGAAGAGAAAGGCTTGGACAAGGAGGACTAGAGACACAATAAGTAGCCTCATAAACTCCTTGATTTTAATATTGACAAAGTCACTCAAGATGTTGTAGCTAAAGAGAATCAGGATATTTCTGTTGCCAAAATCATCAGTGTAATAATTGAAAGTCTTTTGAAAGAAAAAAAAGAATGAAACACGGATGAGGACCTTGCTGCACTAGTAGGCAAAACTAAAGGAGCATCGGG